TATCAGGATATATCGTATCGTGACTCCTCTGTCATGATATGTATCGTATCGCCAAATTCCTGCCAATACACAGCCCTACAACAAACTAGGTTTTACTAACCTCTACACGTTAGTAATGACATCATTAAGAAGCTACAGTAAGGGTGAACTGTTGCACACTGTTCTGAATGTGTATACTGTAGGTGGTGGAGTGAATGTGGGGTAACAGTCCCATTACACAACCAGAAGCTAGTCTACACATTCAGCTGTCCTTCACCACAAATCAAAAGAAGAAGATAATATTTTTACTCATGTCTACGTTCACATGTCTGTCTGTTGGCAAAATAGCTCAGAAACCACCTGAGGTGGGTAGAGTACCCCAAATTTTTTCTCAAGCAAGAGTAGCACCACTTCAACATATTTTTACTCAAGTGAAAGTAAAAAGTAGCCATCTGAGAACTGACTTAAGAGTAAAAAAGTATTTGGTAAAAAGGCTATTCAAGTACTGAATAACTGATCACGACATCAATCATATATTTAAAAATTGCATCATCAGATGGACTAAAAATATAAAGACAGGTGGAACTTTCAGAATGAAAATAATTCATATAAATAACACAATAAATTCAGGCAAAATAAACATTTTTCCAAATCAGTTTCTTTCAACATAAAATGTATGAAACTAACACAAACTGCAGGTGTGTCTCTGGTGAATTTTTGGTGAAAACAAGTTTGTTCTTTATTCAGTGAAGTTACTCACAGTAGGTAGAGTATCCAGAAATTTTACTCAAGTAAAATAATAATATAATCATAATAAAATTACTCAAGTAAAAGTAAAAAGTACAGTGTAGTAAAACTACTCCTAAAAGTACATTTTCCCCCAAAACTTTACTCAAGTAAATGTAACTGAGTAAATGTAACTAGTTACTCCCCAACCCTGCAAACCACTGGACACATTTAAATAAAACCTGCTGAAAATATTCTTTAGACCTGTGTCTACGACTGATGAGTTAACCCAATTCAAGATGGCTGCCATTCAAAGTCAGCAGGAGGGTTAAACAGCAGCAGTATCTACTGGAATCAACCCAGGGTCTCTGTTAGCAAAACCCTCATGAACCACTGGGCAGACTAATAACTCGCAGAAAGTAATCATTAGATACTTATTGACTTATTTAAGAAAGCTGGTTTGGATTCAGGAGCTCTGGACAAACAGTCTTAAATCCAACCCTCCACAGCTTCAAATATAAGAACATCTGGACAGAAATAATCTGTTGGGTTTAGATTTCATCAAAGCACAGACTTACTTTGCTTCTGTCGTGAAAGTGGCTGGTAGAGATACTCTACATTCCTGTAAAGAACACCAGGCCTGTAGTATTTTATAATTAGTCAGCATGTGTAAAATCAGTGGTGATGCACATGTACCTGTTTGGTTAGAAGTGCCGTGTTGTGAAGTTCCAGCAGGTGTTTGCTGATCAGTGGCACTGTCTGAAGGTTCCTCTGATCCACCGAGCCTTCCCTCAGCAGACACACTCACTAGGCCTGTCACGATAACAAATTTTGCTGGRCGATTAATTGTCTCAAAATTTATTGCGATAAACAATAATATTGCCTGGTGACCGTTTTACAACTAATAATTATAAAAGC